TTTATTAGTGCCTTAAACATTTGAGAATGTAACTCTGCAAAACTAAAAGCACGTATATTATTGGATTACCTTCGCTTCTGAGATTTACAAAGCTATTTGAAATAATGCAAGTAAAAAATAGTGATAACTTATAAACCATACATTTTCCGATTACGACAAAACGTGGATGCAGAACAATACCAATAATTACAATAACCACCACGGTGATTACCTTTTAACAATGAGTTTAAGGATTAACACTGAAAATGCAAAATATGCATGGTGTGCTGTGAAGCATCATAAATCCTATTGAGTATTGATCTACTGTAACTGTGCAAGCCCTTTTCGATACATGTAATTGTAAATTTGTATTCTTACATGCAGGGCTTGAAATAACATTCCCAAAGTTCCTGATCATGGCGATCGGCAGTCGTGACTTTCCCTGCTTTTTTCAGGTTGGAAACCGAAACCCTGCTTTTCTGCTGATCATAAGCAATTCCTTGCCGATCATTGATCGGTGATCGGTTGTTATTTCAAGCTATGTCTTAACAATTTTGAGTTGATACTGATTTCAAATGATTAAAGCCATGTAATAATTATCCCATGCAACTGTTAGGAAGGGCGAAATTTTGAACGGAGGACAAAAATCCTAAAGAAAAGGTGAAGTTTCTAAAGGGGGGCGAATTTCCTAAAGGGGGGGCGAAATTCCTAGGATTTTCGCCCCCCAGGGTGCGAAAATGTAGGGGGGCGAAAATCCTGGGACACCGGGACATTTGTTTTGTTTCATATTTCTAAGCTCTGTTTCTAGCTCGAATTCTGTAATTGGGTCAAGAAACATACTTTTTTTATTTTTATTGTCCAGGTAATTATTAGAAGTAGTGTTGGTTGTGTTTATAATTTTGTCTGCTAGCTTTGGTCAAACGTTGATGAAATATTCATTGAACTTGTTAGCTATTTCAATTGTTTTGTTTGTTGAATTAGCCAGAATAAATTAATAGATTATTCTTTAAATTAATATCTCTCCGGTTGCGGAGTATTTCATCGTCATAGAAAAATATTTGCCGTTTCACTTTAACACTCTCAGACTGGTATCACGAGGGTGCTGAATCTTTCATTGTACTCTCAGTAAACTCATACAATCTTTCACATTTCGAATGACAACCTACAAGTGCATGAAAGGAAAAAAAAGTTTTGTCAAGCAGTTAAATAATTTAAGACCATGTTACACAAGGCAATTTTTGTTGCAACTTCAACACAATCTTGGGCACAGGGCGTAAATTTCAGCATAACATGGCTCCAAGACTGTGCAGAAATTGCACTTGCAAGTAATTTGTGACCTTTATATAGTAATGCAAACAGTAGGCAATTTAGCCAGGGTCTGGTTGTATGATTTACTGTAGAGTTAATTATATATTTATCACGAACGTTAGCCAATCAAGACCAGGGATTTCACAGTTAACTACAATTTAAATTAACTGAGAAATGGATAGTTGAAATATAGCTAAGATCATGAGTGAGTCATTACGAGCATCCATCCGTCCATTCATGCATAGTTTTCACATCATAACCTATATAATTTTTGTAATTAGCTTAATTTCTTTAAAAAAATATTGTTACAATTATTTGCCCATGTCATTGAAATTTTGAAAAACTTGGCCTTATTGAGAAATTCCTGCATTGAATGGAATGGGTTAACACAGATGTCACAGTGGAAATATTAAATACAACAGAGGGTGATTTGGCCAAAACCTCAGCAGGAGCTATTTAAAATACAGGCAAAAATCTCAGTTATTGGATACTCAAAAGATGTTTTTGCAAACAATGAGGCGAAGACCAAATTCTATACAGGGCTACCCAACTTTCTAGTATTGCTACAAGATGTGCTTAGGCTATGTGAACTTTGCATCTTGCAAACTGAGAGGTCAGCATTGAGTAAGTTCAACAAGATGTGTTTAGGCTATGTGAACCTTGCATCTTGCAAACTGAGAGGTTAGCATTGAGTAAGTTTCAGCAACTAATCTTGACTTTGATGAGACTTAATCTCAATCTTCCATTGCAAGACCTGGCATACAGGTTTGGTATATCCTGTGCTATAGCATCAAGAATATTCCAGAAAGTAATATCAATTTTGCATCTGAGACTTCAGTTTCTAATTGCATGACCTGAGAGAGTGGTTCTTCATGCTGCAATGCCCATGTATTTTAGAAAATCTTTTGTAACCCTTTGTTGAGAGACCATCTAACTTGTTAGCTCGTGCTGAAACGTGCTTGTCTTATAAGCACCATAACACAGTCAAGTTTCTCATCGGCATTGCATCTCAAGGATTTATAATCAAATGCATGGGGAGGGAGAGTCAGCGACAAGGCGGTGGAATTCCTGAAAGCGAAAACGAGACAAGGCATCAGCAGCAGAATTGGACCGACCAGGGGTGTGACGGGCCGAGAACGTGAAGTTACTGAAACAGGCTACCTGTGTGAGGCTGCGAAGCAGATGCATGAGAGGAGGGGAGCGTGCCGTCCCTTCCTTGAGGGCATCCACCACACTACTGTTGTCGCATAGGAATTGGACCTGTAGTCTTGACCAAATTTGCCCCCCAGAGATGCGCAGCTACAATGATAGGCAGAAGCTCCACAAACGCGATGGATTGTGGGGAGGACAGGAACAACCAGGAACAGAAACACCAATGGGAATGCCACATAGCTCCAAAACCGATGGACCCTGCTGCATCAGAAGCGACGAACAAATCAGGAAACTGGGATACACCAGGCGACAAGAAGAAGCTGATGCCATTCCAATCACAAAAGAAAGCGAGCCACCAGTGGACATCCCAACGAAACTCGACATTAAGGCGAATTGGGTACGAGCGATTGCGAAAATGAGCCAGAAGATCAATCATATGCGCAAAAACGTTCTCCCAGGAGGGACAACATTGCACGCATGGTGGAGGTGGCCAATCAAGGACTCCAATTCCTGACAGTGACAAGTACGCTTGTTGGACCAAGACTGGAGGAGTGACATGGAACGGTTGAACTTTTCAGCTGGCAACCTAGCAATTTGAGTGACCGAGTCGAGCACAATACCTAAGAACACCAAGCAGGTTGTGGGGCCCTAGCATTTCTCATGGTTAAGAGGGAGACCCAAGTGGTTGAAGACGGTAAATGAAGTGTCGACTTGGGCTTGGCACACTGGAGACAACAGGGGACCAAATGTTAAAAAATCTTCGAGGTAGTGGAACAACGGGTGAACATGGTAGTTGTTTGAAAGGATCCAATGAACAGCGGACGCCACCGAATCAAAAATGAATGGAGCAGACCTGAGGCCAAAAGGTAGCGCCAAGTCCAGAGTCTCCCCAAAGAGTCTCGCCAGTACATGCCTAACAGATGTCAGTTGGAGACGTTGATCGGAATGTTACGGTAAGCGGCCTGCACGTCAAACTTGGCCATTAGGGCCCCCGGGGCCAATGTCAACGAGGGATCTGATAGCATCGTCAACGGAAATGTATCGCATAGAGAAGGGATCCTTAGGTATACCATCATTAATGCTTGCTCCTTGGGGAGAGGAAAGGTCAAGCATGAGGCTGGCGCCTGGAAGTGGCCTTCCCCAGTTGATGACGTTTCGGAATAAACCCAAACAGACTGGTTTGGAGAGCGGGTAGTGGGGGGTATGGGTAAGGACCAGCCACCCGGCGGTGAGCGACTTCCGCTGAGAGATATTTGTCGATCACGTCCGGGTGTTGAGACGCCGACTTGAGATTGTGGACCGACGGATGAAGGACCACACACTCTGGAACGAAACCCACAAGGAATCTGTCGCGAATTCCAGCTAACACATACTCCTTGCGGGGACTACGATACTCCCGGAGCTCGTGCACAAAGGCTTCGAGATTGAGAGGGCAAATAGAGTTGATCGTGAACGAGGACAAGGGGAGTGGGCTAGGTCCTAGAAAAAAGATCAAAGTTGAGAGATACGTAGCCTGCCCAACCGAAAAACCACTCCAACACAATACGAGTTAGAATACAATTTTATTGGCTAATGACAGACTAAAGAGACTAGACTACAAATGTATATATGTATGTATTGGCTTAACCACACGACAATTCTATCAGTCCAGAAAAACTATGATGCCAATGAGTGAAGTTCACGAACAACACGACCAACACCACGCTGAATAAATATCGTACTGCGGAGAATCGACAACATAACAGAAAAATTAAACATATCAACGTTTTGAGAAAAAAAGGAGAAGCGCTTACAATGCCCTCTGTGTGTGACTGGGTAGTTTCCGCAGCGACGTTAAAAGGACAAAAGATACGTCTATGCGACCCCCCACATGCCAAATGATCACATGCATGACGATATCTACACTGCCTGCCAAAGGCAGTGCAACGCCGACTGTTCCAAGACCTGCAAAAAAACGACGAAGGGGTACTGGAACCAGCATGCTGAACGCGACTCAGGGAACGCAGAACACGAACCGCGGTGGTGTGAATGTTAAATAGCTCCACGTTCAATGTTTGACCAATCAGACAAACCCCGCGCGGTGGAGGCGTGGTGAAAAGCCTTGTCGTAATTGCGCCAGGCGTCCCCCCGAATTGTGAATACTACGTAGAATCAGCAGTTCGTACAAAAGCAAGTCACGAGCACGGTGGGGGAACCAGGTAACGAGAACGAGGGAGAATATGGAAAACACTTGGGCCCATTGAACGACATCGGTGATCTGTTTGGACTTCGGGGGGGGGGGGAGGGATTTTTAACCGGCCGTCGAACGACATGGTAGGGATGGACGATTCATCAGATGGCAGCGACGGAAATGCTTGCCAGATCCATGTAAAGGCCCGACGCTATTGCCGTAACCAGTTTGTGGGGAACGCGGTTGAAACCGGGGCCCACCACCATGGCATTATCAAACGACTGTGAGGGGAAAGTTGGACAGGAGGTACATGCCCCTGTGTAATTAGACATGAACGGAGAAACAAAGTAAGGTATACCTGACCATTGGAATTGAGCTTTTGAACCCACAGGCAGACCATACAGAGTCGCGGGGGTGGGTAGCAAGAGGGATGGACGGCTGCACTAGCCTGCCCCGAGAACAGTTGCTAGGACGAAGATGTTCCGGGTAGATTGAGGGACAACCTTCCTGGAGGTGCACCGACGAATGGGTCTTGCTGAATGGACTGAGGAGTCTGTGCGAGGTGGTGTGAACCAAGGGGGGCGGCCAGGGATGCCGAAGGATAACCATAGCCGACCACGCTCTGCGAAGGGCCCGGGAAAGACACACTCGGAAATCCAACATGGCGGCCATCTGAAGTCGGGAATGTAGAAGGAGCAGATAAATTCGAACCCAAACGAGACAGGAGCGGCGAAGTCGATGGTAAACTAACATTCCACGACAACATAGTATTTGGCAATGATCTTGTAGACAAAACTGCTGTGCCATAAGATGGAAAAGCTGGAGCTAAAATACTGTTATTTCCAGCGATCGAGATTTCCAGCGAACGATTGTGATATACGTCTGGCAAAGGCGATGAGGAAACAAACACCATTGAGTCAACATTTGAAATAGTTGATCCAGATTCAAGAGGAATTAAACGAGGCATCAGTGATGCTCGAAGTGTTTTGAACGACTAAATGTCACAACTGAGAATGAGCTACTGGCGTAAACATTTGCCAAGCTGTCCCTGGGGCCCCCTATTCTGATAACAAGTACAACAACTCAGCTCGTTCTTAATATAATTTATTTCATAAATCCAATTAACATGTTTTTAAACGAGAACAATGGGCCATCAAAACGTGTTTTTAAATTCAAAACGAAATTCAAATGTTGCTATCAGCCCAGCGTTCTCTTAGCCTGCGATTCATCTAGTCAACATTTTTCGCACGTTTTAATGATTGTTTACTGTTTAGTGCCATCTCGTTTCGATTTTACTTTATAGTTTAAAGCCAGCATTAAACGTTTTCGTTATGAATGAAAATATGTTCCAATTTCGGGTACAAGGACAGAAAAGGCCGAATATTATCGAGATTGAAATGGTGTTGATAACTAAATCAAAATACTCGGAATGTTCCAGTGTGCTTCTATTGACCGGGCGGGAGTCTGCTTACGATTATCGATTGGAGAATTGTCTAGACTACAACAATAAGGAATATATACCACTACTTGACAGATTCCTACTGAGTGGTGTAACAGTTAATGATACTGTTTACCTTAGACGGGATGACTGTAGCAAAGAAGATTAGAATCAGGGTACGATTTCATACTTACTGCCAACAGCTGATGCACATGCACACTGCCAGTGGTCCAGTGATTATCCATGGCCCAGATTTGATAAATGGTTACCAATATGATGATTTCTTTCTGGGTGTCATTACTAATGTGCACAATAAGCAGGGAACAATGTATACATGGTTCCATAACGGGAATCCCATTCACTTTGGAGAGTTCTTGTCAACGTTAAGAGTTGATGAACCAGGAATATATTATTGTAAACTCAGTTACAATGGAATTGAACTTGTATCTTCTTCTGTGAATATTGTGACCAATACATCAAACCAAAATAAAGAAACGTCCCATAATCATTCTAAAGAGTTCAGCCATTCCATAGCAATGGGAGAGTCCAGCACAAAACTTGAAAGTGATAAAAATATCCTGCCTCCATTTCTATTACCTCTCTAGTGAAAAGTGGCAAACTGGATATACCTCAAAAGATAGTGACACACCATTGTTTTATGTAAATTTGAAATAATTCATATTTGATTATAATTAAATGCTCTTGAACAGCCAAGGTTATTTTGTGAACATATCTATTGTAATCATATTTTACATTGTGTTATATAGTTAGAGTATTAATGTTTTAATAAGGTGATAGATGGTTTTGGTCTTTAAATTAATGGTTGATTAATTTTACATATAGTATGCACGAAGAAGATCAATTTTATTATTTATTTGGTGTTATCTTTTGGTTATACCATTATGGCACTCAGTTGTAACACTGTTACAAGTGTTACACAGTGTTAAACAATGTTACATATTCTTACATAGTGTTCCAGTGCTACGTAATGTTACATAGTGTTACATGGTGTTACACACACTAACCCTACCCCTAACCTAACCCTACCCCCACCCCGAACCCTACCCCTAAATAAAGATAGTGTAACACTTGTAACACTGTTACCCAAGTATATACTTAATAATACACTCTAAATCATGCATAATATGTTTTTGGTTGATTATTACATTGAGCCCAGCGAGATAATATTGGTATCCAAAACAAACAAGGTGTGCAATTTACAGGCAAATGGCTAAACAAAGGTCGGCTTTTTACTTTTGTATAACAACAGCATTTACATTAGTATTAAAATATATTATATGTTCATATAGAACTCTTAAGCAGGCCGGAACTACTGGGGGAGGGGAGGGGGTGCGGTAAATTTGGCTTTGGCATTTGAAGTTTGGTGTATATTTTATTTTTGACGGATATTCTATCATGGCCTGCTGACTTGGATGGATGTTTTTATCGTCGAAAGCAATTTAAATACTTTTGTTAATGAGACGTTTTGAATATTAAACCGTGCGTTGGATGAGGTTAAGTAAGACTCTGCCGTCTTGGAACTTTGTGGAATGTCTTTTGCTAGGTTTGATGCTACCTCATTGAAATGTGCGCTTAAGCTATTTGCGATCTCCTCTGGTTTTGTCACATTTTGATTGTCATGTTGGATTTCGGATATTAAAGTTGTTTTTGACTTTTTTCCTGTAAGTTTATTAATCGTTTTCCACATTTCTTTGGGGTTTTTTTTCGCATCCATTCCAAGTGTTCCTAAAATAAGTCGATTTTGTATTTTTAATTAATCTGTTTAGATTGTTACGTGTTCGCTTATAGGCATCATGAAACTGTTTCGATCCTGTTTCAACTGCTTTTTTTTCCCAAAAATCTCTTTGTTTCATAACTTCCCTAATATTATTTGTGATCCATTTGCATTTGTATTACGAAATGTATTATTGACGGTATCTTGATTTCAATCAAACACTTGGTTTTTTAAAAATTGTTTTATGTTTCCTGCAAGGGTAGATGTCCCTCTTTGGTTTAGATGTAGTCCATAATCATTGAGATGAATTTTAGTTATATTATCATGTTTAAGACCCCAATTATGCTCAGTACATAGTTCATCTAGTTTCTTATTAAAAACATTTACCTTGTCGGCAAGATTCGCATTATCATTTCTAGTTCTAACTTCCGAGAGTGTAAGTTCAGTTCCATTTCCTTCTTGAGTAATTGTTTCTCCCAGTCTGCTTATCGCCATTATTAATGTATCTGGTGATTTAGTTTGAAGGTCGTTCGTACCTACGTGTAAGACAACATGGTTTGGTTTTTTCTGAAGTGTTGGTCTAACGTAATGTATCATCTTATCTACACCGGCCCCAGGAAAAGTTTTAATTGTGACTTTATGGTCCAATCCGTGTTGAATTTTCCTTGGATTCAAGTGTTTTAACATGGAGTCACCCAGAATGGCAACAGTAGGGCGGTTGTGCTTTGTGTTCTTAGGTATATTTGCTTCTTTGACTTTCTGTGAATCTTTTTTAGAGTGTCGGTTTCTTTCGTGCCGTTGGTCTTGTTTTTGGACTTGTGTCGTGGTAATGTCATCGCTACGGTTATCAGATACATTATTGCTGTCTGATTCACTATCGTCTACGTCCGATATACTTAAAGCAGTATACTGATTCTTTTGTTGCACGGATTCTTTTGCTTCGACATTTTTTGTACCAACAGGATTATGGGCCGATGTATTTCGTCCCTCCGTGGTCTTTTTGCGGTTGTTGACAACATTCCATGATGCCTGTTGTTGTTCTTGATCGTTTTGAATAATTTTAATGACCGTAACTAAACTATTCTTTTCGTTTTCCAAGTCCTTAACTTTTAAATTCAGCTCGGACATAACACACTTATAGCTGTTGATTTGCTCTTTAAGTGAATCGTTTTCTTTTTTTAATCTGGCATTGTCTTTCGTGAGAAGTTTATTAACAGCCAATGACTGATCGTTGACAGAAGATTTATTCATGGCTTCGTTCTCTCCTCTTATCATTTTCTCATTATATAACTCTATTTTTGTCTCATGTATTTTGCTCTCGAGGTTGTTGATCTTTTGTCCCAATCTCTTCTCAAGTTTTTGCACAGTGTCAAGCAAAACTTTGAACTTGTCGTTTCCGTTTGTATTTGTTAAGCTCTCATCGCAATTAGTGATGCAAACGACTGAATCGTCTTGGCCGGTTTCGTTTGTGTCGGTATCGATGTTGTTTGTCGTTTGAGAATCAGCTTTAGTTAGGGTGGCAAGAATTCGAAGTTGAGATTTCATATCTTCGCTCATGTTTCCGTTTATAGTAAGTGAATTATTATTTGAATATCATCTAACCACGACCTCGTCCAAGTCCAGCATTTTACAGTAACCGGTTGACAACCATTTTGTCTCCTCTGTAATTTCGTTCATCAACGTTTTTAGGCTTTCGAAGCTGCCGTGCCATTTGAATTTCCCTTTTTCATTAACTGTGAGGTTGTTCACTTGGCTATTCACTTCACTTGCGTGATTATCATTATCAGTTGTATTTTCGTGTAGATTTTGTTCAAGTGTGGAACTGTTCAACACACGTCTGTCCGCCATCAGTAACTGACTGGGAAGAAGACAAACAACTTAGAGCCGATCTCAGTGATTACGTTTTGCAAAAGTTGAGTAGAAAAGAGCTTTTGGACTTTGTTTCCCGTGATTATCCCCAATATGCATAGAGCTTGGGAACTCTTAGTAGAAGACTGGCATTTTTCGATATTAGGTACACATGATATGACACTGATGTGTTGACATTTATAAAGTATTCATCTGTCTAGTCTGTTCGGTTATGTATTTCCTCGTGGTGTGAACACTTTATCAAAATGTAATCTTTTATATTATCAATATGCGTTTGTACTTAAAGTTATTCTGATTAAAGTTATACAAACAACAGGTTATGGGCCCAGGAAGGCTCTTTTATGTGTAAAAAGTACAAATTTGCATCAAAATGGCGATGTTGTCGGATTTTCAGAATGTGCTGAGAATGACAAAATTGGACGGGTCGAATTATCGATCTTGGGCATTTAATATGCATCTTTATCTGGAGAGTTTTGATCTATTTGGTCATGTAGATGAATCGTTGGAACCTCCTGTGGAAGATGCTACGGAAGCAGTGAAAAAAGCTTACCAATTGGTGGCGAAGAAAGCGTGGATACAAATTTGTTTAGCTGTTGAGCCTGAGCATCTAATTCATGTCAGAGATACGCGTACCGCAAAGGAAGCCTGGGATGCCCTGAAAAGCCAATTCGCATGCGAGTCCATCTTACAGAAGGTGAGATTGAGACAGCAATATTACTCTTGTCGATTCCAAAGTGGGGAGATATGTTGGAACATATTAATAATTTGAGATCGTTACATGATCAGTTAAAGGAAATGGGGGTAAACATAGATGATAAGGAGATGGCAATGACTGTACTTGCAAGCTTACCTGAAGAGTTTAAACCCCTGATAACTGCACTAGATGCTGTCGGTGAAGCTGAATGACAGTGATCGATGGAATGATGCAAAGAAATGTGAAGATGCTTTTTCTATCCAACGTGGGAAAGGAAAACAATCTCAAGGTGGGGGAAACCAAGAAAACAAGAAAGAAAAGAAACAAGAGAAAACTTTCAGTGGAACTTGCTATTTCTGCCAAGAACGAGGACATTTTGCGAGAGACTGTCCAAAACGAAAGACACAAGAGAATAGCAATCAAGCAAAAGGGAAAGGAAAACGATCTGCTCATTGTGCAGAAAATCAGAAAGGTAATGATGTAGCAAATCTGGAAGCTTTAATTACTTCTGATGATAATAACAAGTCTGGTTGGATAATTGACTCAGGTGCAACACAGCACTTGACATTCGAGAGACACCGGTTAACTGAGTTTGTGATGTTCGAGCGACCATGCAAAGCAAACCTCAGTGATAACCGCAGTATTTTGGCATATGGAAAAGGAACATATAATCTAGTTGCAGATCTCAATGATCATAACCAGAACATTGGTCTTCGTGAAGTTCTATTTATACCTGATCTAGGGAAGAACTTGTTATCTGTTAGAGCGATGGTGAAATTGGGTGCATCAGTTAGTTTTGAAGGGGATTTGTGTAAAATCACAAGAAATTCAAAGTTATTGGCTATGGGAGAAATGTGTGGAAAGCTATACATCTTGAAAGCCATACCTGGTAAAGAGTATATCAATGTTGCAAAGGAAGAATCAGATATGCATCTTTGGCATTGTCGGTTTGGGCATTTGGGAATTGATGACGTTTCAAAGTTAGCTAATAATAATATGGTTAATGGGATGAATGATGTTGCAGATAATGGACTGAGTCCATGTGAATCCTGCATAATGGGGAAACAACATCGAACAGCCTACCCAAAGGGGGCACCTTATCGAGCAACTGAACCATTCGAAATTGTGCACAGCGATGTGTGTGGTCCTATGCATGTCAAATCATTTGGAGATTCACAATATATGGTAACTTTTATCCATGATTATTCAAGATATACCTATGTGTACTTCATGAAGCGTAAGAGTGAAGTACTAGAGAAGTTCAAGGAGTTTGTTAATTATGTGACAAACAGTTCTGGAAAGAAAGTTAAAATTCTCCGTTCAGATAATGGTGGTGAATATTGTTCGAGAGCGTTTGTTGATTATCTGAAGGAAAACGGAATTGTCCATCAAACTATGGTGCCCTATAATCCTGCACAGAATGGCGTGGCTGAACGGATGAATTGGACACTTTTAGAGACTACGCGTTCCATGATGTCTCATTCAAAGATACCAAGCGAGTTTTGGGCACAGCATTTGCCCATATTCCCGAGCATATGGGAAAGAAGCTGGAAGAGAAATCTCGTAAGTGTGTATTTGTTGCATATCCTGAAGGAACGAAAGGTTACAAGCTGTTTGATCTGTCTAAGAAATCATTTATCCAAAGCAGAGATGTGATATTTGATGAGAAGAAGTTTAATGAGTTTAACAGTAAACACTCATCTAAACCAAGTTCCGATTTCTATTACCCAGCAAGTGTAGCTGATGAGAAAGATGCTGATGATCAAGTTGCTGACGAACATGTAATTCCTGTACCTGTTCGTGAAAACCGTAACCAACCAGTGGGAGAAACCTATGAAGATACCGAAGAGAAAGAAGACCTCCAGTCAGATTTGGTGAAGAGCTGTATGCCGCTGATGACCTTACTGCAGACATAAATGAACCAAGAAACATTTCTGAAGCGTGGGAAAATGAGTATTGTGTCCAATGGAAGGAAGCAACTGATGTGGGGTATAATTCATTGATCGAGAATGATACATGGGAACTTGTTCCGTTACCAGAAGGAAAGAATATCGTTGATAGTCGTTGGGTTTTTAAAGTTAAGCAAGATGCGAATGGATCTGTACAACGGTATAAAGCACGACTTGTAGCACAAGGATATTCGCAAGCCAAAAGTGTTGATTACCAAGAAGTATTCACTCCAGTTTTGCGAAACACCTTCATTAGATCTTTATTGGCACTTGCAAACACATGTGATTGGGAGATACACCAGATGGACGTAAAAACAGCATTTCTTCAAGGTGACCTTGAAGAGGATATTTACATGAAACAGCCAGAGGGTTATGTAAATAAAGACAATCCAAATCTTGTTTGCAAATTAAAGAGAAGTCTGTATGGTTTGAAGCAAGCTGCCCGGTGCTGGAACTCAGCAATCGATAGTTTTTTGAAGTCAGATGGTTATAAACAAGTTGGTGCTGATCCTTGTTTGTACATTAAGTCTATAAAGTCTATAAAGCAACCAAATGGCAAGATCAACTTTGTGATTTTATCCATCCATGTTGATGATATCTTGTTGTTTTCCAACAATGTTGATATGTTGAATGAAGAGAAGCTATCACTTGGTACATGATTCAAGATTTAGTTGAAGTCAACTATGTTCTTGGTATGTTGGTGAAACGCGATCGGAAATTGAGAACACTCATAATCAGTCAACCAATATGCCTAGAAGGAATCCTGAAAAGATTAAACATGGAACATTGAAAAAATGGTTCTACAGCCATGGAACAAGGCAGGCAATTTCACGAGTTACCAGAAAACGAGAGTGCTGTTGATGTTCAAGAATATCAAAAGATTATCGGATGTTTGACGTATGTGAAGACTGCTACAAGACCTGATCTTGCATCCGCAGTTAGTATTCTGTCAAAATAATATGTCTAAACCTAGCAAGGAACACTGGCAAGGTGTTAAGAGAGTTCTAAGATATATCAAAGGAACAATCAATTATGGTCTTATCTTCAAAGCTGAAGATAACAAAGGAATTTTAGCTGGTTACTCAGATGCAGATTGGGCTGGTGACATTGATACAAGGAGATCGACATCCGGTTATGTTATCCAAATTTGTGGAAGTACTGTCAGCTGGTGCAGCAAGAGACAATCATCTGTGTCAAAATCTCTGTGTCAAAATCGTCGACCGAAGCCGAATATATAGCACTAAGTGTGGCAAGTCAAGAAGCTGTGTGGCTAAGTAGATAATTGAAAAATGTTGGAGTGAAGCAAGTCAAACCAATTCTTATATACGAAGATAACCAAGGAGCCATCGAGTTATCAAGAAATCCCAAATTTCATAATCGTACCAAACACATTGATATAGCATACCACTTCATTCAAGAAAAAGCGAAGGACAAAGGTATGTATGTTAAATACTGTGAGACAGAACAAATGCTAGCAGATATAATGACTAAACCATTGTCAAAAGTATTGTTTGAAAAATTCATAGACATGTTAGGTGTTGAAGAAGTACATTGACAATTTTGTGACATTATAGTATATCATTAAGTGGGAGTGTTGACATTTATAGTTTAATGATAACGAGACACTATAATGTAGTTTACATAAAGTATTCGTCTGTCTAGTCTGTTCGGTTATGTATTTCCTCGTGGTGTGAACACTTTATCAAAATGTAATCTTTTATATTATCAATATGCGTTTGTACTTAAAGTTATTCTGATTAAAGTTATACAAAACAACCTGATGTCGATGTCGTGACTGATGCTGTTCGCAAAGAATTAGAGGGTCCTGGACAGTTGTTAGGATACTGTGCAGTTCATAAAAAACTTGGAGAACAGCATAACCTAGCTGTACCGCATAATCTGGTTTATGATGTTATGGGTGTCATAGATGCAGAAGGGCTTGAAAGGCATGGCAATATTGGAAAGAAAAAACGAAGAAGGGGAGCAACTGGCACCTTCACGTCACTGGTAAGAAATTTCTATTCAATGCTACAAAAAATAGAATTGTAAAAAAGATGGAGTTCTGCTTTGGTGCTTGGTAGATAAATAGGTTATTATATAGTTAATAGGTTATTAGACACATTTCTATTAACCTAATATATTAAATAACCTATTCACCTACCCAGCACATACCAAAGCAGAACTCCATAGACATTACCAATGTGGCATTGCAGATGAAAATAGGTAAAAGGGCCATAACAAAAAATATAGTTCAAAACAATGAGAGCAGTGACATACAAAGTGATGACATTGAATATGCCTTAAGTTAAAGAAGAAACGTTAGCTTTCCATAAAATGTTTTAAACTATATTTTTGCTATGGCTCTTTTACATATATTCAGATGGCATTAATATTTATTTTAAGTGGCATTTAACAGTAAGTACATACTTGAAAACACCCCCCAAATAAATATTTTATATGGAATATTATAACGAAATTTTAAAAAACATCTTTATTAAAAATAGGGACCTAATCATATGCATTCTTGTGATGAACATGATAAGCTAATGGGTTTTATGAAAGACACCTTTCCCTTGGCAGTTTATGGTATGCTAGATGTATTTAGTGGCTACATCCTATATTTGAAATTGTGGAATTCAAATTCTAACCCCAAGCTTGTTGGACGATGGTATTTGGAGCATCTTTATAATACAAGAGGTAATTTAATTAATATACAAATAATATACTTTATGCAATTCGTTTGTCCCTGGCCTGGTAAAAATTTTCACTAAAATTAATCATTCTCTCTCTCTACTTATGTATAAAAGGTTTTATGAATGAAGCAATATTTTGTACACCCTCCCTTATAGAGCTAGTTATAGTGGTCATTGTTTCATAAGAATTGCATGCCCTCCCTGTATAAAAACTTTAATATATATTTTACTTTTACATTCCCCCGAGCTGACGGCGCGGCGCCATGCGAGGGTACTTAATTCCCCCGGCTATTTACACCTGGGGAAACGAAAGCATTAGTGAAGTCTAAAGTTCATCAAACATCGCGGGCGTCGGTCACTGTGCGTGGGTGGTCATCCTCACAGATCTCAAGAATATGGTGGACTGTCATGAATAGCGAACACTGTGATTGGTCCAATTTAAAGTTTGCATTATAATGACTAAACCTAAACGACAACAGCGAAATAGCAAACATTTCTTGATTTGATGATTGATGAATTTCTTGCAAATATATTTCATTATTGCTCGCATTTGTGCAGGATTCTGTGAAATTTCAAGAAACAAAGGGCGAAAGAATCTGCTAAAAGAAGGGAGCCAACGTTAACGAAGGTAAGTTTGTTTTAAATATTAATTTTTGCTTTAAAACCCGACGGCCTTTGCGTATATGAAACAACTAAACAAGACCACATATAATTTCATTGTATCTTTAATATTGATTCCCTTTTTTAGTGCAGATTTTCTTTGAAATTGTGCACTATTGTGATGACTGGGAAAATTCACATCAGTCAGTCAATTAGTCATAGTGCTAACTTTCCGGGGGGTGTACTATGTGTATACGATTTGTTTGTAGTGATTTATTGTGCTTTGAAGGTTATTTTGGCAATTTCAGTTGTTTTATTTAAATATTCTTTTGTCCTTTTGCCAAGTTCACAAACATTTCGAGGAATCGTTGTCATTGTAAATTTTTGTAAATTTTATAACATTCTCTTCTCATGTTCTGTGAAGGATCTTTCCCCTGGAAAGCCTATGGCCAAACCTGTGAACATTGCGGCCGCCTTAAGCACTTCAAGAATGTTTGTCGCAGCAAGGATAAACCCAAACGACGAGCACCCTCTCATGCTGGCGAAGGTGCAGTATTTGATACCTTATGCTCAACAACCGGCAACAGCCAACCCCTTCGCAACCAGGTTTTGCTCGATCACCACCTATACGACAACCTCAACAATCGCTGGACCAAACAACCCTCTCAACTTCAACCATTCATCAAGCTTACAGCTACAGTCCACCCCGATGACTACCAAGCTTTAGGATTCCAACCCGTAACTCGACAAATCAAAACCAGAACCCTCTCCGCGATGGCAGACACTGGCTGCCAAAGTTGTTTAGCTAGTATGAACGTTGTTCGCCGCCTCGGCCTGCGTGAAGATGACCTGATACCAGTTACCATGCGCATGCACGCAGCAAACAACAACGGTATCAAAATAATCGGTGCAGTGATCCTGCGATTCTCGGGACAATCTACCTCTGGACAGTCCCTACAAACCCGCCAAATTGTCTATGTCACACATGACTCTGACAAGTTATTCCTTAGCCGAGAAGCCTGTACAAGTTATTCCCTGCCCTGGGCTTAATCTCTTCCACATTTCCCACCTTTGGCGAAAGTCCCTGCCCACCCACGGACCCCGAGACAGCCTCTGCAACAGAACTTCACCCACCAACGCAACCCAAACCCCCCAACGAACCACCCATTCCATCCTGTGGTTGCCCGCATCGCAGAACACCACCACCTAAACCAACACAACTCCCATTCCCAGCCACGGAAGACAACTGAAAATGCCTACAACAATGGCTACTTGATTACTACGAGTCAAGCTCATTCAACACCTGTGAGCACCAACCGCTACCCCTAACGGAAAGCATCCCCATGCGACTCATGGTTGACCCAAATGCAACACCTGTTGCCCACCACAACCCTGTCCCTATCCCACTTCACTGGCAAGCAGAGGTGAAAGCTGGCTTGGACCATGATGTTGCCTTGGGTGTTATCGAACCCGTAGGATGGTCGTGTGTGCAAAGAAAACTGGGAAACCTCACCGCACGATCGACTTTCAAGCCCTCAACGCTCATGCAACCAGGGAGACCCACCACACTCAGAGCCCCTTCCACCAGGCCCGCTCCATCCCAAGTGATACCAAGAAGACAGTCTTTGACTGTTGGAATGGCTATCACAGTATCCCACTACACAAAGACGACCATCACCTCACAACCTTTATCACACCATGGGGCCGATATAGGTACAAAACTGCTCCGCAAGGCTATATAGCCTCTGGTGACGGTTATTCACAAAGGTTTGACGAACTAGTCGCCCATGTGCCAAACAAAACCAAGTGTGTCGACGACACTTTTCTTCCAGGCAGTCGATTGGTTGGACCTATGTGGCCACCATGGCATCATACTGAACCCGGAAAAGTTCGTCTTTGGAGCTGACACCGTGGAATTTGCTGGATTCGAAATTACCCCTGACAGCGTGCGTCCTTGCAAGAAATTCCTAAATGCAATCCTCAACTTCCCGAAACCTACCAACATAACCGACATCCGATCTTGGTTCGGTCTAATCAACCAAGTCTCTTATGCCTTCTCCTCCACAGAACGAATGCTCCCATTCCGCGAGTTACTTAAGCCTGGCTCGACATTCCATTGGACTCCTGAGCTAAACACCTTATTCGAGGAATCCAAATCAGTGATCGTCAGCGAAATCGAGAGAGGTGTACAGATCTTTGACAAATCAGAACGAACATGCTTGGCAACAGATTGGTCAAAAAATGGCATTGGATTTTGGTTATTCCAAAAACATTGTACCTGTGATTCCACTGACACGTTCTGCTGCCCAACCGGGTGGAAAGTCACACTAGTCGGCAGTCGTTTCACCCATGCCGCAGAATCGCGATATGCGCCAATAGAAGGAGAAGCTCTGGCCGTAGCTGATGCTCTCGACAAGGCCAGATTCTTTGTCAAGACAGGCTGTACCGACCTAAACAATCGCTGTTGACCACAAACCATTATTAAAAGTGTTTGGCGACCGCTCTTTCGAAGACATACCCAATGGCAGACTACGAAACCTCAAGGAAAAAACCATTCGCTATCGGTTCAAAATGGTCCACGTCCCCGGTGTTAAGCATAGAGCTGCTGACGCGCTATCTCGCCACCCAACAGGTCCAACCAACCCAGAAAGGATGCTACTACCAGACGACGTCGCAGCAACCACTGACTCAGAAGCCACGTTCCCCTTCAACAACCTTGGCTACTTTTTCCTAGCAGGCATCCGCTCTCAGGCTCCACCACACAACTACAACCCAGATGATCAACTATAGCTTCATCAGCCTTGGCAGCACTCAGCACCATGGCAATAACATGGGAGAGAGTTAAGCTGGCGACCACAAGCGACCATGACATGACACAATTGATCACTCTCATCGAATCTGGGTTTCCCCGGCTCAGACACGAATTACCATCCAACCTTCAAGAATACTACCCATTCCGCAACCATCTCCATACCATAGACAGTGTCATCATGTACAAGGAGAGAATTGTCATCCCACCCCCCCCTCCGCCCACACATCCTCAGTGTACTACATTGTGCCCACCAAGGAGTGACTTCCATGATAGCACGAGCCAAGTCAACAGTCTTCTGGCCAGGCATCACTCCCACTGTCACAGCGCTTCGAACCAACTGTCAACACTGCAACCGCATGGCCCCCTCTCAACCCAGCGCCCCACCCTATCCTCCCACACCAGCGATCTACCCTTTTCAATGCATCTGTGCAGACTTCTTTCACCACAAAGGTATGCAATACCTCGTAATTGTTGACCGTTACTCTAACTGGCCAATCATCGAGCGAGCACAAGATGGGGCGAAAGGTCTAATCAATTGCTTGAGACGCCTGTTTGCCACCTTCGGAATCCCTGATGAGTGCGCTACAGATGGTGGCCCAGAATTCAAAGATTGGGGAGTTAACCACCGTCTTTCCTCTGTGGCATTTCCGCATTCCAACTGCAGGGCTGAGATTGGCGTTAAAACCGTTAAACGCATCATAACCAACACCACAGACACACGAGGAAGTCTTAACACCGACTCCTTGCAACGCGCAATCCTACAATATCGCAACACACCAGACCCAAACACCAACCTATTCCCCGCACAATGTGTCTTCGGCAGGCCCATCAAGGACTTCATCTCCATATTACCAGGCCGATACATTCCCCACCCCACATGGAGAGACACCCTATCTGCCAGAGAGCAAGCTCTAAGAAACCGCCACATGCAAGCGTCAGAACGCTGGTCCGAACACACCAAACGACTACCACCCCTGAAAGTTGGCGACCATGTTCGCTTCCAAAATCAAACTGGCCCCAACCCCACCAAATGGGACAAAACCGGCGTTATCGTGGAAGTACGCCAGTTTGACCAATACGTCGTCGGAGTTGATGGTTCTGGTAGAGTCACCATGCGCAAACGCAAGTTCTTACGACAACATGTCCCTGTTGGTATCTTACAACCTCATCACACGATCATGGATGATCTACGCCACGTCACTACACCTTCAGCTGACATACCAACCCTCCCTGACCCACAACCAATGCTGCCTGAACAACCTCAACCTAACCACAATGGGGAAAAACCGAGAAACCCACCCAATCCCATTCCACCACCAAGCATCCCAACCGATGAAACCCACTACCGATAACCGCCCCCAATGTTGTACCAATAACTCTAGGTACTCCACCACCCACAGCGGACCAACAAGTAACCGACAACCAGGTCCCTTCAAGAAGCAAGAAACCACCTTTAGCCCTGAGAAGACTACTAGGCCACAATATAAAAGGACTAAAAGAATAATCACAGACCTTTATATAACTTTTCATATTCAGACAATCAGTCTTAAACACTCTGATCCAAGAACCATTTAAGACTTGGGGGGAGATAGAACATAATGGGTTACCTGTAGAATAGGAAACTGGTAACCAGTTGTAGTTTCACTGTGTACTTGTTCTGACTTCTCGTCATTCCGTGACGAGCTCGATTATTATTAAAATATTGTGTTATCTGGAAA